AAGTTGATCTTTCTAAAGAATTTATACTACTTACGAGACACTTTAGAAATAGTCACGCCAAATCCTTTAGAATTATATTCCTTACGAAAAGAAAACCTATCTTCAATACAGCTTTTTAACTAGAACTATAAAGAAGTGGAACAGTTTGCCAGCCACACTAGCCACAGCCCCAAGTCTTAATGTTTTTAAGAGTGGGGTCTGTGAGCTGAAACATTAAGAACCTTTACGAACCCGAGCATATAAGCCTTGTAGAGAGGGAAAATGCTTGTAATATAGTAAATGTAAAAATATTTCAAGAAAGTGCATTTACAGCAGTTAAAAGGGATGTAAAATACTAACTAGGTATATGAAAGGGTCACCATCTGTAGAGGGAAGGCATAAGAAAGTGGTACCTTTTTTCTAAAAAAAAATTACATGGAAAGGTAAGAGGATGGCCCTCGGGGCGAAGCCTCCCCGTGTAAAACGTTTGTTGAGTAACCCCTCCCCCCGCGTCCCCTCCGATGTCTACTGCATTATAGGAAATGATTAATTTTAATTTATCGTTGTTTTTAGATACCTTGGTAGAGAGGGCTGGGTGCCCCAGATGTACCTGAAAAAGTTGGGAGAAGAACGCTATAAAACGAGGGCGTCACGAAAAAGTGTAGTTAAGAAATGCTCGGCACTTGAAATAAGGACCTCCATTGAAGAAGAGGAGGAAATGGTTATAGGTGAGATTGCTGTAAATGAGAAATATAACTTTTTAAACTTTGGAGTTACAACTATTTTATTCTCGCTGGGTCAAGAAGTGAATTATTCATTCAGTTAACCCTCTTGACCCATGCTCTCCCCCGTTTTTTTTTCCGACTGAAAGATTGAAGAATTTGAAAACGATCCTTGTTGCAAGGCTGCGCAAATCAATGAGCTACAGTTTTTCTGCAACTATTCCTTAAATTTAAGAGGAATACATGTTGACCGGCAAAATTGGGAACCGAGTCCAAGAAAGAAAAGCAGAAACAAACACGGGGAGGAAACTCACATGGAACTCCTGGGAGTTGCAGTCAAATCCTTTTTAAAGGTAACTTATCCTATGCGCTAGGACTCTTACCCAGTTAGAAGGACATGTCCCAGAAACAAGCAAAGATATTTATGGATATCGGGTGTTTGAAATATTCTCTTATTAGGCGTAGCTGATAGGCTGTAAATCTTTGATGTTCTAGCTTAAGTTATGTTTTATTGCAGAAGTAACACACGCAGAGGCGGATGATAAAACACACAAAGAAGTAAGTAAACAAGGTCTGGCTATTCTTATTTGGGAAAAATATTAAAGTAAGAAACAGATGGCAGAAGTTTCTTAGATAGGTTTTTAATCGAGTTTCGCAAAGAAATTTACTAATTGCTTTGGTTTCTCGTTATAAGCTTTGAGATTGGTTGAAGTAACTCCTGCCATTTTCTCAACCAACCAGTCGTAACTTGCGTCCATGCTACTTCAATATTTTGCCTCAGCTACTTTGCTTGAGTTAAGTTTATGTTTCTTTATGTTGTATTGACTGGGGTAAAACTCAGGTAACAATTACAGTATTCGTTTTATGACAGTGGTTCTCGCACCATTCTAGGCATTCTCTCGCGCGACACACACTTAGAAAGTCGTACAAAGAAAGGCGGGAACACAGTATTGAACGACTGATAGCGGAGTTCGCAAGATGAGCCTCATACTCCACCCATACCTAACAAAATTTGGTAATCTCTATCCATCCAAGACATTTTGGCAATCACGTGACCGTCCGTCTGAACGTCCTCACCACAGGGAACCCAACCGTATCGCGGGCTCAGGTGCCAACTCATTGAGGTCACTTGCTTTTTTTTCCTCCTGACTAGTTGTTAGTTTTTAATTGATCACTGTCACATGGTTCTCCCCAAAAGTTAATTATAGATTTGTAGATTTCATGCAACGGGAAAGTCCATTATCTTCGAATTATCTGATCAGAAGTAAATTCAAAATGCTTAAACGGGAGATTCGCTTTTAGCTCTGGCGAGATCTATACATCACTATCTTTCATGAGTGTATAGGAAGAAATCAATTTAATGTTGCCGTTTCTTCTAGGATAACAAGCCTTCCAAGGAAGTTGACGATAAGACAGACAGTGGTCAGACAAAACCAGGGTCTAAAGATAAAGCAAAAACCGTGGGAGTGATGTTTGATTTGAGTAGCATGTTTTTACCGCTGGAAATTCCGAACGAAGGATCGTCAAATGAAATTCCAACTCCGAAGACACCACAGGCAAGTACTGATAGAAAATTGCATCAAAGACCTAGTTTACAGCGTCGAGCAGTTAGTGATGGGATTGCCCTTGTATTGGGTAAGAGTCTTGAAAATCAAGAAGAAAAAAAGGATGACACGAACCTTAAAACGTCAGGCCTGGAGTCAAATCATTCCAGCAAAGCAATTATCATTAACAGTGATGGCGCCAGCATTTCTGCAATGGAATCGAAATGGAAACCTGACCCCGCAACAACCACGTCACTGCCACGTTTAGGAAAGGGCAGTAAAGGGGCCGAAGCAAGTGCACACCCGCGAACACCAGAGGCACAAAATTCAAACAGCCAAGACCTTTCTACATCGGCGCCAAACACCGAAAGGCCAAATATGTATCAGCTAACAACAAGTGAGGGCGCAGCAGTATCGTCCGATTTCACATCCAATGGTGAAAAGTATGATAAAAAGCTTGTCCGTCAAGCTTCTGTTGAGGAAGAGGTACATGCTCAAGAATTGCCAAGTTGGAGTTCAAGTGACGAATCAGATCTCAAGCTTCAAGATCTAAACGAATACTCCACTGATGTCTACAGCTGCGCCGAAACTCATGAAGTTAGTAAAGACATGTTCCTGGCCAAGGGAGAAAATGTGAAAGTAATTGAAAGGGGTCCCAATGGCCTGTGGTTGGTGGAAAATGGTCGCGGAACACGAGGTTGGACTAGTTCTGCAAAGCTTTATCCAGTAACAGAGGGGAATGGAAATCTTGAAACCCTCATGACCATGTCAGGAAGAAAAGACTCAGGGAAAAAAGAAGACAACAACAACGATGAGGTGCGGGAAAAGCAACAAGAGGAAACCAAACTTAGCATCTCACAAATGATGTATCGTGCGACTAACAATTTCAAGGGAGCAGAAGACAACGAAGAGATTAACCTCCACAAGGGTGAAATTCTGCATATAGTGCACAAGGATGAGAGTGGTTGGTGGTGCGCAAAAAATAGCGAGGGTGAGATTGGATGGGTCCCTTCAAATTTTCTGAAACTGATGCAAGGTGAAGCAGACAATGATGACGATGATGATGAGGAGGAGGAGGAGGACGACGACGACGACGACGACGACGACGACGACGATGACGACGATGAGGAAGATGAAGACGATGAAGAAGAACACAGAGGCAACGAAAGTGATCTCCATATTTCGTGCCGTGTTAAAAGTGATTTTAAGGGTAACGAAGACAAGCAAGAGATAAACCTGCAAAAGGGTCAACTTGTACAAATATTACACAAGGAAGAAAATGGATGGTGGTGTGTACGAAATGAAAATGGGGATATCGGATGGGCTCCTCAAATACACCTGGAGGCGCTCGAAGGTGACTCAACGGATATCTGATTCAACAAAACTTTTCTGTTCCGGCCCTTGACAAATGAACTGGGCTGTTTAAAGACCTCTTTCTTGGTTTGTTTAAGTAAGTCATCTAACGCTTTTCAGACATTGGAGGGACTAAAGAAGTGACAGCCTTTAAAAAAGTTTAGAGGCTTACAAGCTTAGATTGTAGCATTTAACAGTCATCCACCAATTCAATTAGTGGCTTATTTTTGTATTCGTTACGTTTTCTGCAGTAATTTTGGTTTTTATTAAATTCAATTATTATTCATTCAAAATATTTCTCCATTTCTGATTGGCTAAAACCACATGCATAATTCACCATAACCAGCTATTGTTGACCAAATTTGGAAGAATTTGCGATTAATCAACCGATGACGTCAAAAGTACAGCACAGTTGCAGGTTAATGCACCTTTAACCGAGAAGACCTGGGGATGAGGTTGAATTGTTTTGGTTGTAAAAAAAACATAGCAAGAAGACACGACGGACAACATCTGCTATTTGGAGTATATTTGCAGACCTGAACAGCCCTGCTTTTAAACATGCACTATCGAGGTGAACTTAACATCGACGAAGGTACGCATGTTTCAGCTTGTTTTAGCTTTTTTTTATTTTGAATGAATAATAAAGCAATAAATGAATTCGGCTTTCGTAGGATATGAAGAATTATGCAGATCTCGGAGGGTGTTATCCACTTCGGCCGATAGCACCCTCCTCGATCTGCATAATTCTTCATATCCTACTCAGCCTCATTCATTAATTTAAGGTGGTACTATACAAAAAAAATGCGAGTTTTTTGAGAAATTGTCCGAAAATTTTTTTTGCTCGTTTTCATATCTTCAATGATTTATTTTTCATCCAGCATAATTTTTTTGTCAGTATTTAATTGGTATAGAGAAAAAAACTGTAATTTCCTAAACACTGTCGCTTGGTTGTCATGGTAACGGGTTTGTTTACGCGTCGTTTTGGAGCCGAAAAATGCTTGTTTCGTGGGCCAAAATTAGGCCAAAAACGAGTTGTTTTGACCGAGGATCATCTATTGGAAGACTGGTACCCAACAGTCTCGATTTCATGTCCATGCGGTAAACAATCAGCCATTTTGCAATCGTCAAGTTGTAGATCTTCGCAAGTGAACACTAGTTTGACCTACAAAATGCCGAAATTTTCATCTCAAAGACGCAAGAAAATATAATTTTATGGAAATCGGTTTACTAGTAGGCAAGGAGTGAATGAAGAAGGGTTAGTGCGGTGGAAAGCACTTCAAGTGGATCGGCAATGAGTTCTTCGCATGGTCAAGAGGAAGCGAAGGAATGTTCAGCGTCGTATCAAAAGCTCGTGACAAATGCCGAAGAAGAGAAGCCTAAACCAAAGGTACAAGATAAATATTCAGAGGAAGATAGTCCCACTATTAACGGATTTAGATTTTTCGATATGGAGGTGCTGTCGTCTGTTTTTGAGCAGCTACGGTGTGGAGATTGTGGCAGTTTCAGCCTTCTGTTGATGGAAGATAGCACAGAGCGGAAGGGATGTGCCTCGACTTTGCGCTTGTTGTGTGAACACTGTGGCTGGAAATTTTCTTTTTGTACTTCAAGAAAGCAAGGAAAGAGCTGTGAAGTAAATAGACGTCTTGTGTATGGCATGAGAACTATTGGCAAAGGTTATGCTGGAGCAAAAAAATTCTGTGCTATAATGAACATGCAAACTTCCAGGGATCAGCACCAGCCATGGAGCCAGAGGGAGCAGATCGCATATTTCAGAGGTCTGTTGAAAAACACAACCTCAGATACACTGAATTTTATGGTGATGGTGACAGTAAGAGCTTCACAAGGGTGAAAGGAGTTTATGAAGATGATGGAATAGAAATGGAAAAGAAGGAATGCATTGGACATGTCCAGAAGAGAGTGGGAACTGCACTTCATAAATTAAAGCAAGAGAACCCAGGCTTAGGAGGCAAGGGTAAACTGACTGATAGTCAAATAGACAAACTTCAAAACTACTATGGCATAGCCATAAGATCAAATGTTGGAAATCTTGCTGGCATGAAGAAAGCAATTCATGCTAGCCTAATGCATTGTGCATCCACTGAGCAACGCCCCCTTCATGACTACTGCCCAACAGGCAGTGCAAGTTGGTGCCGTTATCAACAAGATATGGCAAATCAGACCAAGCTGTACAAACATGGACCTGGCTTACCTCTTGAGGTAATTGCAAAGTTAGAGCCAGAATATGTTAGACTCAGCAATGACATTTTACAGGAAAAATGCTTGCATGGTAAGACGCAAAATCAGAATGAATCATTAAATGGAATGATCTGGCAGAGAGTCCCAAAAGAAGTTTATGTTGGAAGGGAAACACTAGAACTAGGACTGTATGATGCAGTCGCTCATTTTAATATTGGAGCAGTTACTGTTATAAGAATTTTGCAAGCCTTAAACTTTCCCTCTGGAAAATATACAGAAGAGGGTTGTAAGCTTCTTGATCAGCTACGCGTGGATGGTGCAGAATATAAAAGCAAGGCAAGCACCAAAAAGAGAAGAAAAGTCATAAGAGGACTAAAAAAAAGAAAAGAGGACAAAAACAAACAAAGAGAGGGTGTGAACTATGCCTCAGGACAGTTCTAGAGAGTTGTCTATGTGGAAACTCTGTTACAGTCATTGCGAATTCTATTTCTCAAACTTTAAACCATTTTTTCTCATAATTTTATATTTCGCGGAACTATGAACACTCTAGCAACCATAACTTTTCATGGTTTTATTCAATTCTTCTCATTTTTGGAGTGAGAAATCTTTGTATGTTTTTACATGCAATAAACTACAATCATTTATCTTGGTGTAATCTTTGTTGTCTGAGGGCCCAAAACTGGATCCTTAATTCAGTTTATTTTGAATGTCAATATGTTTATTGCAATAATTTTGTATATATTAGTCTGATAAGAATGCCTTTAGTTCATTGCATAAAAAAGAGTATGTAGATGAAATTCCAAAAGTTTCAGCAGTTTTCCTTGTAATGTCTTGGAGATAGAAGTGTTTTTGTACCGGTTATCCCAGGGGGGTTATTTTTAGTATTATTGGTTGCCATGGTAACTAAACAAGACAAAAAGTACAAAAATATACTCATCTCATGCTATAGTTTAAGAATACCTGGGAATACTTTTGCAAAAGAACATATCAAAAAATAGTGATTTTTGAGGAATGTACCACCTTAAGAGCATCCTTATACCTGTCCGGCTCAGGGATTCATTATTTGTCCGTCTAGATAATTATTTATTTTATCAGGCTTATCATACACTTGTCATTACTAACTCTTTTCCCATTTCGTCAATTTCTTGACAGTTTCCTCTTTGATTTTCCTTCAACTGCTTTCGCAGAGCTCGAATTTCGTCTTCTGCGTCTGCTAGCCTAGAATTTGATAAACAGAAAATATAAAGTTGAATATTTAGTCATGAAATGTATATTGACAACGTCCCTGTTGAAAGCATCTTTTTGCATTTATATATATATATATATATACTGAATTTCTAATTTTAATTTACAAATTATGATAAGTGCTTTTCAAACTTTCAGCCTGCATATACTAAGGCAAAAATTATAGTAAAAAGAAACATTTATTACCGGTTGTCGTAAATTAATATGAATGGAGACAGTGGCAAAACTTTGTAGTATAGAAAATAATAAATTGCAATAAATGAATTCGGCTTTCGTAGGATATGAAGAATTATGCAGATCTCGGAGGGTGTTATCCACTTCGGCCGATAGCACCCTCCTCGATCTGCATAATTCTTCATATCCTACTCAGCCTCATTCATTAATTGCTAATATGGTGAAAAGAGTGTGTAGAAGTGTAACGTTAGTAGAGCGCAGCAAGGACATTGTGATGACTTTATTTCTTTATAGCAATTTTAGATTATAGTTCTCTACCCTGCAAGCAGAGGTTTCTCTCTGGCATGGCTTTTAGCGCTTACGAAGTCGTTCGCGTGGCTTGTGAGTCGCCTAGTTGCTTTGTTTTATACGCCCCGGGAGAAACGGGGCTTAAACAAACCAACTACGCGACAGGCCTGAGGCACGCGAACTACGTAAGCAGTAACAGCCATGCCAGAGAGAAACCTCTGCTTGCAGGGTAATAGTTCTCTTTACCATCTGTCTATGGAGCGGGCAACGAATTAATGATATATATATTAGCACAAAGGTAGCAAACTATGCACCAGACAGTTAATGTATTATCTCACACGAGGAAATCTTTTTCTTATCGTGACTCAGCAGTTTCAAAGTTTATCATTGAATCTGGCTACTTAGAAGGATCGGTAAAGATAATCTGGGTAAGCTAGTTTTTTAGAATGTTATGTTTAAAGATGTCGTAACCATTATCAAGAAACTGGATCATATGGGATTCAATTCCGAAGTTTTCATTCGTTTAGAGACCAAGAAAATAAAAGTTAAATTGAATCGTCCTACGGTCGTTCATAATGAAATCAGGAAATTTTATTAATATTTCTCACATCTCAAATTAAACACAATCTTGTGAGGTAACTCGGTGTTAAAGATCGGTGTCAGTCTTTAAGTTCAGATGTTTTGTTAGCAGCGCCGTATTTCCTCATTACGCGCCGACTAAAAAAATGGTCTCGAAATAATGCAAACGGGTATAAATTTCAGGATATTAGACTCAAATGTCTCTGGTATTTAAGACCTCAAACGGAAGTTAAACTGGAACTATGCCCGGCGACAATCAGATTTGTGCTATGAGGGGTTGCAACAACGATCGAAAGTTTGAGCCGAGAAAAACAACAAATTATTTCTCATTTTGGAATAAAAAGAGTGATAGTTCAAGGAGCGTAGAATACTTCATTTTGCACTGTACTTATGAATGTGTTGTTGAGAAGAAACTGAATGAGTGAATGCGGTAAAACCCCAAACGAGATCTCTGATACAAAAACAGTGAGTGGGTAAAGTAGGTGTCCGACTTGAGAGTGTCTGTACCCTTGTACAAAAGGATTATAGAAGACCTTAGTACTCATTGTAACCTTGAATTTATTGTGATTTAATAGCACTGTACCATAAAAAACATTGTGACGTGAGAAAAATTTCATTATACCAACGGAAGGAAGGAATCTCCAGTCGTTATCACAACCCCACAAAGCGCAATGATCTCCGCCGGTAATGCTCGTTGTATAATAACAACTGAAGCAACTTTATAGAGACAATCTCCGCAAATCTATTCATAAGTTAGTACTATTTCGAGACCATTACTTCAAGTCATAGAATCAACCTTACGCAAAAAAGCGTTCATCGAAGTCACAGAAAAACGAACAATTTCCACTGACTCACCGTTAATCACTACCTCGCTATATTCACAAAATCATGGCGAAAATGCGTTACTTCAAAATCACTGCTTGACGAAGAAACAACCTAACATTAAACACTTCTCTGAAGTCCCTTGGCGATCCCAGAATCGTAACATAGGTCCCCGATTTTTGGCAGATTAACTGAGTCCGATATTTTGGCGGGACTTTCCCTTTACGTCATTGGTAGGAACACAAAAAAGACAAAGGTGAGGGATGGGCGTCATCCCTCGTCTTGACTCAAGGATATGATCACAGGAACGACCCAGTAAGACGGTGTCGAAATCTTAAGAGCTCTCTTTTAATGACGTAAGTACGTTCTTACACCAACTATCTAGCCAGTTACCTTCAGCTAAGTATCGCTAAACTATTTCTCTATATGCATCACAAAATTTAAAACACTTAATAAGTCGGTGAAGAGTAAGAACACTTGAGTTATGGAAAATTAGTACAAATCGGTAACTTATCAGGAAGTCGGCCAACGATCACAGGAAAGCGAATTGTAGCCGTTTGATATTCAGCTTATCATAATATGACTTAAATAGTAATGACTGTCTTCTTGTTAACTCTTGCGGTTTACTTGGGAAAGCAACAAATTTCGATTATCGTATCAATGAGCCCGCCAATGTTTCGGCTCAGTTAATCAATTAACGTCATGTCTTTGGAACCAGACAAACCAATATACACCAAAGAAAACTACATTCTTCTCGATCAGGAAAGGCGCTTGCAATTTTAAAAACCAAAGAAAAGCCTCGGTATCCGACATTGTAAGAAAAGTTATACTGGACTCAAATCGGTATTCCAGAACTGGCCGAAGTAAAGTTTCAAATTAAAGCAAGGGTGTTTTTGAATATAGTTTTATATAGTTTTAGAAACTGAGAAAAATACCATTTCCTAATAAGATCCCGTCTCGGATATTGCCCGTTCGATCAAGTTTTACGACAGAGACAAAGAGTACTTTGATATAGTCCGTATGCACACAATGCTTGTTAATTTTGTCGGTTACCATCTAAAAAGTAGCTAGCAGTAGGAGGGGACACAACTTAATCTTTACTACATAGAGAGCCTTGAAATTCAATTAATTTGTGTGTACCAATAAACAATTTATAAATCCCTTGGATTGTCTTAAATAAGATCTCCTTTGAGATTTGGGTTTAAGGAGCCAAAACGTGCAAGTTTTGAAAATTTCGCCACATATAACAGGTGCATGAGGGACTTTGCGATTAACTATGTAGGGAAGGACCCCAGCAACATAAATTTAGTTCGCAATAATTCCTCAAAGGAGCACGAAAAAACTGAACTTTAAAAAGAAAAAGGATAACATGCCGACAAATCACCGTTGGCAGATGCCATGCCATTATGTACAGCTAAACTAAAAAAGGTGCAGAAGGCTTCTTTGCGGGCAAGGAATATCAAAAAGTGTTTTTAATAAACTTGAACTTGAACTTGAAACTTGAACTTGGTGAATCTGTAAATACACCATTTTCACCCTTTTCACGCGCCTTGTATGAAAAAGGACCGAACAAGGACAAGAATGACTGAAAAGCAAGAAATTAAACCCATTTAGGACCAGAATACCGACTGACTCAAACCCGCGAATGGGAGCAGTTTCTCAAAGGTAAGTAAGCTCTCAATATCCATCAAGGTTTCGTCGCTACTATTTATACGAATATTTTATGATACAATTGAACATCATACCTCAGTTTTGTCATTCTTCTTGTACATTCTCATGTTTATGTGTGTTGTTGATTTTTGTCTTTTTAACGTTATATCGAAGCTAGTAGTGATATGAACAAAAAAAAAAGTTCAAGATAAGTTCCAAAAAACTTTTTGCTGAATTACTTGATGACGGAAACCAGACAATCCAAGGTCATTGAAAAGATAAAATGAGAGATATCGCCAACAGTCGGATACTATGAATCGCGCTTGCATTGACCTTGAACGTTTTGCTTGCATTGTAACTCTAATCTTAACGTTCTGTAATCTTAGAAACTTAGAGCTTCAATGTTTAAAAATTACAGGACAATAGGTCAAAACCGATAGCTAAAGTAATTTTTGTGGTATGGACTGTCCGTTGTTCATCTTCTTTGAACCGCAGTTTCCACTTTCGTCACGGAAAGAACGTTTCAGCTGACCTGAGGGCTATTTTCTGTTCCGTCACTTCAAAAAGAGACAGTTGTCATTATATATTATCACTATTCTTCGCCTGAAGCAACATTACTTCAACCGGTCAATGAGTTATAACTTCCTTGATAATGTAACATAAATTATGATAATCTTTAATGA